ACACTGAGCACAGTGGGAATGCTGTGTACAGTTATTGCTCTGTGTTACTTAGGGAAGACTGGACAGGTTTCCACACGCTCACTACCATTTGAGGCAAGACTACACAGTAGGTGTAAACAGCCCTGTGACGACTTTTCCTAAATACTTCCCATCAGCAGCAGGTGGCAGAATCTATAGACACACACCCCACGGACACAAAGAGCCAACTGTGTCTGTGGAGGAAGTCGTACAGAGAGCTCTCATACAGAGCTCAGATGATCATCACAGACCCTCATACACCCCCATGGACTTTCATCAGTGATGAACCCTGTTGCTTAGAAGACCCAAGAGACAATGGCATCCAAACTAATTATGTTTAGAGAGAATCAGCTACTGTGGAGATAAAAGCGCAGCTTTAGGTGGACCCAGGCCATGACCCCCTAGATGACATTTCATCTTTGGGACTATATGGACTCATACACTTTGAAGAGCTTTCAGAGAATAGTTTTCTTGAGGTAATTTTTAAAATCTGAAAGAGAGATGACCCTGTTTCCCACTTATCCTGTATAGTTCAAATAGGATTTTTTTTAATAAATAAATTTTTATAAATAAAATTTTATTTATTTGTTTATTCAGAGACATGGTCCCACTATGTTAGCCAAGACTGGCCTTGAACTCAGGACATCCCTGTTTTAGGCTCCCGAGTGCTAGTTTACAGACAAGTACCACACGCCCGGCTTCTGATCTAAGTCACAAAACATGCTCTGCTTTGTTTGACCCATTCCCTCTTGCCCCTGCTCCCCACCCCCCATGTGTGTTCTGTCTGCATAGATGCCTGAATGCCAGAAGAGGGCACCAAATCCTATTATAGATGGTTGTGAGCCACCATGTGGTTGCTGGGAATTGAACTCAGGACCTCTGGAAGAGCAGCCAGTGCTCTTAACCGCTGAGCCATCTCTCCAGCACCTGTCCCTCGCCTTTATTTTTTATGATCAGTTTTGCTTTTAAGGCTGTTTCACCAGAAGGTCTTGTCAAGGTGCACATAAAATCATATAGGGGCTATGACAAATAGATTGGATCATTGTCTCTGGTTCCTGGCACAGAGCTCCAAAAGCCCCTGGGATTTCCCAAGTCCTAGTGGCTTCTTGACATAAGGAACCCTGCTAGCCACACTTGAGTTTATGCTGAGATGATTTAGGCTGGGTTCCCTGGATAGTCTTAGGATGCTACCATCACTGCAATACCAAGGAGAGGTTTTGGTTGGTTCAGTATCATCCACTGATATCTCTGTTTCTCTGTCTCTCTTCCCTCTCTTCTCTCTATCTCTATCTATTTATCTATCTATCTATCTATCTATCTATCTATCTATCTATCTATCTATCATCTATCTATCTATCTATCTATCTATCTATCTATCTATCT